TTTTTGACAATACATACAAAACAAATAGATTTAATATGCCTTTTGGCATTTTATCAGTGTAAACAATTATGGGCAAAGTGTATTCTTTAAGAAAGATATATCAAGATCAATGGGAATAAACTATAATTATGTTATAGATTCTTAAAAATAACTATTGGAGAATCATATTTTTATCAATTATTACTTAAAAATATAACAGTAAAAATGAAATGAGTTTCATTGATTTTAATAGTAAAGCAGAAATTAACAATTTTACTGGTAATAGAAATCATGCTATATGACAAATTTGCTAATTTTTATGTTACCTACGACTATTTATCAAAGGAAAATATACTATTGGTAGTATTAAAGGAGAAATTCCTATCAGCTCAACCAACTCAAACTTGATTATGGTCATCTTCTATCAGTGGTATTAAATGGATGAACACAATGAGCAGTAATCCAGTGATAGTTGAATCTAGCCACCCGGATGCAAATTCATTTGAATTTTGCTCAGTTAATCATAGAAGTAGTAGGAAAGAATAAGAAGAAGCTCACTATAGCATTGCATTTGAAGTAAAGGCTTTGAGGTGATCATCTATGATAGAAATTTTAAGAATGAAGAAAAAAAAGTGAATATAGAACTTGTGGCTACTATATGAAAGAAATTGGTTAGCACTGGTAAATAAATATCCTAAACATGTTCCATCATTAAAAATTGGTGGCTCATCTGAAAATGCCATTTTTATTGAAGATGAACCAGTGAATGACAAATGTTAAATCTGGATTAGATACCCTTTGGAATAAGAATCCTGGCATACTTTTTTTAATTTCTGGAGATAGTGACTATTTGCTCATAGTGAATCAGGCATTGGAGAGTAAAAATTTAGATAAAATTCACAGAAATTTTTACTTTTACAAAATATTGTAATTAATAATTTATCTTTACTATATCATGCATCAGTGTCTTCATCAATGAGACAAAAAGAAGATAATTCTACAATTTCGTTCTACCCTGATGTGAGAGATTATGATTAGATTATTAGAATTTCTTTTTTTGTAATTTATATTATGCATCATTATTTTCTGTATTGATAAGTGGCCTTGGTGTGGCTAATTATGAGATCAGGAATGAAAAAAAATATTGTGTTATGAAGTCAAATAAGTTATCTAAGTGAAATTCTAATTTTATAGCAATGTCTGGTGAAAGACCAGTTTTATAAATATTTTACATATGCATTAGAAGGGCATCTTAAATATTGTATTCTTTATAATAGATTAATAATTTTCTCATTAAAGATTAGAAAAATTGGAAAAATTGGAAAAATTAAAAAATTGGAAAAGTCATACAGAGAAAATCCTTTTGAGAAAGACTATTTCCTTAAAATAACTGATGGTAAAATGATCAAAAAATACAGAATGGTAATCATGGTATGAGATAGAAAAAGAGATTATATACAGTACTTGTATGATAGTAAAGTGAATTTGATAAGGACAAAAACGTAAATTCATATTAGACTTAACAGACGAAAAGAAAAATAATATTTTAGGCATTTCTGAAACATCATTAAAAATTTGAAAGCCAAATATATTTAAAAAAATATTACGAACGAATATATATCCTATTATATGAACATAACAGATGAAAACCATTTTTCAGCATTATATTTCTCATATAAGACCTAAAATTTTCCCTTTTCCTTTTCCTTATCTCCGCATAACCTCTTAATATTTACCCAAATTTTTCCAAAAAAAAAAATTCTCTTCGCATTTCTATCTATTACAATGACCTGTCATCACTCAATATTTAGTCAATGTTAAAAAAATTTGAAATTTTATTAAATTAATTGGAATACCTGTTTTTTTTCATCAAGTCAAATTTTATCTATAGTAATTTATCCTTATCATTTGAAAGAACTTCAAGTTGACTTTAAAAACCTTACCTTGAGCAAAACATCACCAAAATTGATTTTTACAGTTCTTAAATGCTTACTTCTTAGGATAATTATTAGAAATCATTTTTTAATGCAATTTTATAATAATTTATAGCTTCATAATAGTTGTCATAATAAATATTGCATAATATAAGTCCCTGACGTGTTCTCAGATGATACTGGATGCGTTTCTCCACACCTGCAATCTTCCACTTTCATTAAGAAATGTCACGATTTTGGAAGAAATTTCCCCTTTTGAAATGGCTATCAGAACGGAATCCCTTATTGGGTAACTAATGGACTATGCATTTTTCTTGCAATATTAATTTATTTTGGGGCTTTTAAAGCACTTTCAATACATGATTATTAGAATACTAGTGCACAATTCGACAAATTTTACACACTAGAGCAACAAATTAACTGTTGATAGGATGAAAAGCAACAGAAATAATTAAGGAATATGCAACATTAGAGTACATATATCTTCAATTAGTAATAATTTAACTACATCATGGTTTTCAAATAGAATCATTAGCTACCCATATAAAAAATATATCACAAAGATTATATATTCCATCATCAAACGTATCTATTGATGAAATGTTTGCACATATTTCTTGAAGACATATTGTATTAAATATAAACCTGGATACATCAAATTAATATAAACGAACTAGCCACATCATATGGATGTACAAATGTTAAGAATACTAGATCTAATTCTGATATAGTTAGCTCAGGATCCTTTACGTTAAAAGTTGTAATGTTCCCATATATAATTTTAGATCTATGCAATAGTTATTTATTTATTTTTTTATCACATAAGTGTATCATTTATTTTAAGATTTGACAGATAACAAATCTTATAATACATATATGGATAATTTTTTTTCCAATATTAATTTATTTAAATATTTAAGAGATAGGAATATTGGTGCATATGGTACAGTTTGAACTAATTTAGTAGAATTTTAAAGGATATGTAAGATATGTAAAAATTAAACTGAAATTTTCAGGAGATATTGTATAAAGTACTGGCGATATTATGGATTGATAATGGTCCTGTAACAATGCTTTCAACAATTCATGAAATAAGTGATACAGCAAAACATGAACGATGTTGACTACAAATAACTGCAGTAAAAGAAGAAATAATATTGATGATATTTTGGAGATGATGATAATAAAAAAGATTACCAATTCCAAAAATAATTGATGATTATAATTACAATATGAATTGTTTTGATATTTGTGATCAATATAATTATATAAACAGAGGAAAGAAATCAGTAATTCATCTATTTTAGAATTATTTTTCTTTTTTATTTTTAATGAAAATTTTCCATTTTTCATTAAATTTTTCTGGGGCATTGACTCGCAAATCCTCGCTGATCATTTATTTGGGAGACCTTGTAATTTCCAGTTAGATGAACTTGGGTTCTTTGGAATCTTTATTTTTTTGGCCTTTAGATACATCAATCAATTCACTCATAATTTATAAAAAAGAATATAACAATAGTGTAATAAGTCATAAAGATTTTAGATTAGAAATCTGCAATTCATTAAATACAAGAAATATAGAAGATAAAAAAGTGGAAGGAAAAAAAATTTTATGTAACAAATAAATATTAATTGCCATTAAGCAGATTTGCTAATGAAAATAAACATTTACCTATATATAAAAAAATAGAAAGACATGTCTGGTGTAGATTTAAAAACAAAGCTAAAAGCGAAAGTAGTGCAAGTAGTATCTGAATTCACGTCTCGTCAATTAACTGATAATATTATACTTTTTATTATTATTCAACACTTTTTTCTTATTTAAAAAAAATTAATTATTAAATAAATTATTTTTTTAAATATATCGTAACATATTAACATTTAGTTAAATTTGATATTGCTTTTCTCATTATCATCACATGATAAAATAAAAAGAAACTTTTTTTCGTTGCTTTCCATATATTTCTTCCTGATTTATAATATCAATAGTTCAATACCATCAGATATTAATTCTATCAGACATTAATCCATTTTTTTACATAAATGAAATTTAGGAACTAGGTAAGGAAATTAATATGGATACAAGTGATGATAATAATGATTTTGTTCTTGATGTAAGAAGGTGAGGTGTTGAAGATGATAATATGGTACAGTACGTCAGTACCAGAAGAATCTAAGGAAACAAATAAAATGAAACTTATCCAGTTGAAGAGCATGAAAAATGGACAAAAAACCTTGCCAATATTGTCATTAGTATGGGCATTATGAATGTTGCCGGTGAAAATTCGAATAAAATAATAAAATTACTTAATTTGTAAAAAATTGTACAAATGTTCATTTATTGATTTCTAATAGTGTATTGTATTAATAGTAAAATATTAAAATTTATTATCTAATTTATAAGTTACAGATGTTATTTTACTTGCACTTCGCGTTTGATTTTTTTCATAAATGGGAGTGACTTTTTGCGTAAAATGAAAGTTTTACGTCGAATTTTTTGTTTAAAATGTTTAAAATGGGAATTTCGTGTTGGATTTTTTTGTGTAAGATAGAAATTACTTATAAATCATTAGCTAAAATTATGTCGTGACCTTTGGATATTGATCATGTGATGATTTTATTCATTTATTTTCCATTTAAATAAAACATAAAAATTCGATATCATGATAAGAAACAATTCTTTTAGAAAATTTGCTAATTGAACAAGCGAAATAGATTTATTTAATAAAAAAAGCGGTTAACAACTTCGTTTTAAACCACAATTTCTAGGTATTGAAATAAAGTAGAAAACATGATGAATTCGATATCTGAAGGTATTTATACAATTGTTAATAAATTAGTAAATTAATTAAAAATTTTAATCAAAGTGTTATTATATTCAAAAAAAAAAAAAAAAATTATATATTTTTACGGCACAGTAAATGTCGTTGATAACGTGACACATCCACTAAAATAGATTGGTCGTATCCTGATCATCCTGTGCTACATAAAATTTTTTTTCCCATAAAAAATATATTTTTTAAGGAAAAAAATTTAACTATACCTTACCGAGATAAATTTTTTTTTAAAAAAAAATCATTTTTGTCATAATTATGTCGTCTTTAAACGCAAATAAAATTATACTATCAAATATATACGTAATATTGATATTCTATGATTTTATAACGGAATAACCTTCACCCTATGTAAAATTATAACATTTTTTTTTTCAAGATGCTTACATGCCTTTATTGTGGTGTCAATGAATCAGATAAGGGTCCTCATGGAGATGATGGTGAATACTGTTCTGACTTTTGTCGTTCGGAAACTTCGAAAGCTAAAAACAAGGACACATTATGTATTCAATGTAAAGCATTTCCACGAGTTAATCAGTCATTTTTTTGTGGAAAAAAGTGGTGTCGCAATTGTATGAATTGTAATGTGAGTATAATTTTATTTGTTATTATGATCATGTAATATCATCTTTCTTTTAAAAGTTTAAAAATAAATATCCTCGCTAAAATTATATATAATTAATTGATATAGAAAAAGTCAATTATGAATTCAGATACATTATGGTGTGGGAATATGTGTCGCGACAGTATTCTTAATTGGGAGAATTTGATCCAACGTAATAATTTATTTTTCACATTGTGAAACGTATTGTGAAACGTCAATTTATAACGTTTTGTAACGTAATTCTTTTATCAAATTATAGCCCCTAGAATTATTAAATTGGAAGCGTATAGTAGTCCCTATAAATCAGTACTTAAGCAATGGAAAGAATCTTGGAAATCATATGATGGAGAAGAAATTCCCAAAGTAAAAGCAATTTGGGAGATTATCGTTTCGTGGAAAATTTTAAGAAGGTAACCGATTACTTATTATTTGGTACAGGATTCATGTACTTAACGCTAATAACCGTATAAATACTAATTCCGAAATCAAATATAGATATGAAGCGTACCGGGATGAGATAGAACGAACAGGTCACTTCAAAGGTAATAGTTACTCGAAAAAAATGATACTCTTTCTGCAATTAATAATAGCCAGCAGAAGTATTTGAAAAAATTGATTAAGATCAATTCATCTTTTTTTTTAAAAAAAAGCATTGATCAGAGGTAATGAACTACGGTGAGTTAAATATAATAATTTTACACTCGTCATGCTTTTATAAATTGAAATTTATTAACATTTTGTCTCTAAACATACAGAAGATTTCACGGCAGCAGCCAGACTTGTCTTATTGGTATCGTGGATGGTAACTTATGCAACTCACCCTCATGTTCCACTTGTCAAATTATCAAACATTCATACAGACTTCCTTCTTCGAGTCATGGTGCCTTTGGTTGTGGGATTTATTTTACTGCAAACTCTTCAAAGGCAAATTGGCATAATCCTGGTTCTAGACATTTATATAACGGCACGTGGTTCCGAACTGTGTTATTAAATCGAGTTGCTGTGGGAAGATGGTGGAATCAGTTAGAATTTAAAAGGTTCGTTGCACCACCTCCTGAATATCATAGTATTATAGGGAAACCAAGTGATGAGGGCAAAATTAAATTGGATGAATTAGTAGTATATACGGAGGCTGCATGTATACCATGTTATTTGATCGTGTACAAAGAGTTAGGAAAGGAGATTCCTCGTCTTTAACGTTGTTCAGGGTATTAATTAGGATAAATTTAAAAATCATATATATATATTTTTTAAAATGAGTGATCAAGATAAGATAATTTACAATTTAGTTTAAACATACAGTGTGTGATCAATGTTTCACTTTTGCGGTGTCAGATAAATTCAATAAATAAATTGATATTTAATCTGTTGCTGGTAAATTTTAAAGGAATTCAATATCAATGTTATTACTTAATCCTAATTGTCGTTAAGAAGATTGATTTTGAACAGCACTTAAAATATTATTATCGCCGTTTTCAAAATGGTGTACGCAGTTTATTTATGATTGTATATTCGAATACCCGGCTTTCATCCGTTTTTTGTCCATATTTCGTCCGGTTTTCATCCGGTTTTCGGTTTCTTTTTCTTTTTATTCAAAATTTAATTGCGTACATCATTTTGAAAACGGCGATAAAATAAAGTATCACAAAAATAAAAAATAGTGTGATAACACGTGAGTCTTTTTTATAATTTCCAATGATAGAGTCGAATATATTGATCCTGTATATTTGATATAATTTTTTCTTTTAGAGACTCGTTGTTTTGCAGAATTTTAAAAATTCGTATTTATATTAAACAATTTAAATATATTTTTTTTTTATTTATATTAAACAATTTAAATAATGTTTTCTTTTTAATATTGTACATTAAAAAACATGATAAATTAAATTTACAAAAAATTATAAAAGTTATGTTTTATATTACATATTTTGCATTGGAGTACAAACAAATTGAATACATTAAGTCTAGCGAAGTAATATATATATATATATATAATGATAACGTTAAAAAATTGAAATTTCTAAATTAAGCAATTACCGATGGTTCACCATAAAATTTAAATACCTAGTTTCGATATTAGTCCATAATATTTTTTCAAAACCTCAATATGTTCTGGAGCAAAGTGATAACTACGATTAAAATTGGCATAAAATTTAATTGGGGTCCTGTCTCTCCACCTTTCAAAAAAAATTTTGTAAACCAGTAATTGAAAATATAAAATTTTCATTGAAAAAAAATTCTTTAAAAGTTTTTTGGCGAACAATCGGCTAGAATATTTAATATTTCATCACAATTGTCTTCTTCCTCTTCTATTTCATCATTTATATATAAATGTAATCTATTTAATATCGTACAACCCAAGAGGATTTCTTTTATACCATTTAAATCTTCAAATTGAATATTAATATACAAACATTCAAAGTTTGGACGATTTTTAGCGATGGCTTTAAATAATCCTTTAGTATATTCAAAATCTTGATAATTCCATATCTTCATTGTTTTAATGTTTCCATGAGATTTTCAATTAACATACAAACTTCATGACATGGTAAATATTCTGTAAAGAGGTACTAAAGTTTTTGAAAACAAGAAATCGATAAATATTTTTGCAATTCTTGTAATTTTTGCTCGTCATAATAGTAACTTAAATTGAAGTATTCTAAGTTTGTTAATAAGGATTCTGGTGTGATAAAAATATCCTTTATAGTAAGTTTTCTTAACATACCAGTTTTCCTTTCTATTTGCTCACTTAATCCTATACTTGCTATTGTTAATCGTATAATCATGTGACCGGCGATCATGTTACGAATGTTGTAAATGTTACGAATGTTTAATATGTTTAACATGTTAAACATATGCAACATATTTAATATATAACACATATTTAACATATTACATTTGTTAAATATGTAGCATTTATATAACATTTTAAACATGATTAGCATAAATTTTATTATTATAAATCTGTTATATTTTAATAAAGCATTTATTAAATAAATTATCTCATTGTTTATTTTATAGTTTGTTATATTTGTGAGTCAATATTTGCGTCTGAGTGTATATGCCCGTGTGTGCAATACCGTATTCGCATTTGACTGGAATTTACATTTTATTTTATTGTGTAACCTTCGTAAATCGATCGACAGTGATACATTTCTTAATAATTTTATATAATTTATTTCACTACGCGTTCACTTATATTTATTAACATTTATTTTACCCACTAATCCTTCTGCTTACCATATACCCATACGCTTATTTTTATAAGCATACAAGAACTGGCTTAACACTATTTCATCACAATATATAACCAATGAATTTAATTTATTTTAATTATCAACAAATTTGATTAATCCTGGTATATAATCATCACAATTCCATATTTCTAAATTTTTAATATTTTGACAATATTCTGCCATTTCAAATAATATTTACTGGAATTAAACAATCAATCTTTAAGGTATGAAGCTGAGAAAAAAAAGTTGATGCTCCAGGGTATTGACATAAAGGTAATGTTGTTTCCCTATAAAATTCTGTTATATTCTTACATTTTATGACAAATAATTTGTAAATTTCTTTTTCTAATATTTCGTATTTTTCCTTATATTTTTGAGAATTAATTACTTCAATAATCATTGTCGTCCCATATCTTTGATAAGAGTTTTTGGAAAATGAGAATAATAACTAATGTAATTGAATAATGGTTCGTATGAATAAGGATTTGAGATTCGAATAATGTCATTTTCAATAAATAATTATTTTGAAGATGCTGGTAAGTAGATTATCATATTACGAAATTTATCAAATGGTGTTTCTTCATCTCTTTTATATAGTAGAAATCGTAAAATGATCATCTTCAAAATATTCATAAAGAGTTTCATAAGGAGTTTTCCATAATACTTGTAGTCCTACAGTACACCAAAGTCTAAAATGTACTTTGTTTGAATAATTTCTTAAGAGGTGCTAGTAAGGACTGACATTGTTTGAAATTAAGGATGGTGTGTTGAAAGATATATTCTAATTTAGGTAGGGTTATTTTATTGATTATATACTATTTAATATGGTCGTGAGTGAGTTTTTTGTTTTTCATCAATTCATCAGCTGATAATGTGCATGGACCGATTTTTTTTCCTTTTGCGATAGTGATGACGATCGAGGGCGTTGATATAGAGCCAGAGGATGCGTTCACCTTTTTTGTTGGAAAAAATTGTTGCTGGAATTACGTTATGATAAGATCTATAATCGGTGAATTAAATTTTTGATTGGTGAGGACTTTAAACTTATCCGTATTGGTGAAATTGTAAAAAGAATTTTCTATAGAAAGGTTTTGATTAATTTGTTCTTGCGATGAAGTGTCATCTAAATATCCAACGAGTGACGTGTCGAAAGTGTGAATAATGTTGTCTTCTTTGTGTAGAATGTTTTTAATACGTATGGTTTTGCTGATATAATGTAATTCTTTTTGATTATTGATTCTTTGGAATAGAGGGTCGTAATATACTGTATATTCTTCAATAGCGGAGATACGACCTCTCCTTGATCATTGTCAGCAATAGAATAAAAGATCAATTCTTATTTGTTAATCACGTGACAAATTAAAATTTGAAAAAAATCATTTAATAAATAAAGGATAATCTTTGCAATCCTTGCAAAAAAGAGAGAATATGTGAAAATCTATAATCGTTTTGATATTTTATTACTGAAAAGGCATAGGTATAAAATTTCTTTCGATATTTTATATTTTTATTACTAGTGAAAGTCATAGGTGATGAAATTTCTTTAAATTTTTATTTATTAGGAAGAAGTGCAATGTGCGAAATATGATATTTACTTTAATATTTTACTCTGAAAGGTGTAGGTATGAAATTTGTTTTATTACTAAATAGTATAAATAAAAAAATTTCTGATAATTTGTTAGAAAATATAATAGGAAAAGATTTTTAATTTGATGAGTTATGGTAATGAACTTTTACCTAGGAATGACTGAGACTTGAAATCTTACAATATAATCATTCTGTATCATAGGAAAACATCGTATTTTTATATATAATTTCATTGAATTTACTTAATTTATTATTAAAATTGTGTAAATTTTTATTTGTTTTCTACTTAATAAAGTTAAATTTTAAAATTTTCATTATTTTCATGTAAATAATGTTGGTTGGATCTGATAAAATCATAATTTCGACATATAAAAACTAGAAAAAAAGCTTCTTAATAAAAAAAACTTTTTTTTTTTTTTCTTAAAATATTGATGATAATCTAAATTTCGTAGAAAAGAATTTATTTATTTATACTTTTTTAATTCCAAATTCAAATTCTTATATAGTGAATTCATTATATAAATATACCGAACTTTTGGATAATTTAGGCCAAATTTATAGTGTTGGCCAGAGTTATAATTTCGTTTGGAAAAATTACTGATACTAAATGATAATCCTATATGACTAATATATAGGAGTTCAGTTCAGATGTGTTTTATCGTTATATCAATTGAAATTGTTTATAAAAAATCGGTTCTGGAAATTCTGGTTCGGTATTACGGTATAATAAGATAATAAATATGCTTAAATTATTTTAATAATCGTCAACATTTCGATGTGGTAAAAGTATAATTGACTAATTTAAAACTACCGTAATATAAAATAGGAATTAGTTGATATTGATATTTAATATATATAACTACAATTAACCCTACAATGGTATTAGGACATTTTGCCGAAAGCCATTTCGCCGAAGCCATTTCGCCGAAAGTATATTTCGCCGAAGGGATGTTTCGCCGAAGAGACATTTCGCCGAAGGGCCATTTCGCCGAAGGGACGTTTCGCCGAAACTCGAAAATCATTTGCACGACTAACACAAGACCGACAACAAAATCTCGACAATCTAAAATCTCGACAAGTCAAAATCCTGACAAATCATTATACCGACAAGTTGATTATCCCGGCAATTTTAGAACAAATTATAAAATTTACCACATTTAACTAAATATTACATATTGCAACAAATTATTTTATTATAACTATTTTTTTTAGGTTTTAGTACGAAATCTCGAAAATCATTTGAACGATATAATGACTTGTCGGGAGTTTGGATTGTCAAGATTTTGATTGTCAAGATTTTGAATTGTCGAGATTTTGAATTGTCGAGATTTTGTTGTCGATCTTGTGTTAGTCGTGCAAGTGGCTGTCGAGATTTTGATCGGATACCATTCCATATATTTTAGGAATATCATCATTTTCGTATCTTTTAATAGTATATGATTTAGCCTATTAAAACATATATAGTTAACAAGTGGAATGTTGTTTTACAACAAGTGACTTGTTGTTTTTACAACATGCTTTTGAATTGTACGAGGGAATTTGTCCGACATCGGTCACATGATTCTTTTTGTAGTTTGTAGTAGTATTCTTTATTTTATTAAGGCAATAAATGCAGTTTCAAGTAATTCGAAAACGGTGATAAAACAAATTAATTAAATTAATTAAATTACATTATTATCTATTTTAAGTCTAAAAATAAAAAATTCAATCTATCTATAACCTTTAGCTCTATCAACTCCCGTTAACTCCCTTAGTACCTTTAACTTCCTTAGTAGTACCGTTAACTTCCTTAGTAGCGTTAACTCCCCCGTTAACTCCCATAGCTCCCTCATAATTGTAATTTGGGTCATAATTGAAATAAGGATCAGCTGAGTAATCGAAATTTTCGTCACCTTCATTGGAATCTTCAATGGAATTTACATTGGGCCCTTTATTAGCATCTCTCATATTAACACCATAATAGGGACCCGAATGATACTTTAGCTTTAACTGACCAAAAGGTACCGATTCAGAACAATTTGGATCTTCAGCATTACATTCCTGAAAGTCATTTGGATCTTGATCAGGATTATTTATATATAATTCTTCACCAAAATGTTTATAGAACCCAATAAATGGAATTGGCCATGATGGAGGCAAACGAGTAACTGGATCACCACGAACTATAGATCTTACTGCTTTTATGTTATCATCAACAAATTTAGCAAATGCATCATCACCCATTCTTGGTTGACCAAATGTAGAAATAAACAATTTTTCATTTTTAGCTAATTCTGGCGCTTTATGTATAAGATCTAATGCCGATAATGTAGTAAGTGCTATGGTAAAAAAAAAAAAGACTGTTAGAAAGTTATAATTAAATATGTAATTTTTTTTAATTTATTGAACTTACCACCACCTAAACTGTGACCCGTAAATCCGACACTGTAATCGGGATTTTCTTGGATTAATTTTAAAAGATCATCGGTAACTTGGGGTTGAATTTGTTCCCAAGCATAAAGAAATCCACGGTGTACCAAGGCCCTAACAGGTGAAGCAGGTTTCCAAAGGTCGTGTAAAGTGGTAAAGTCAGAAATGTAATTTCTAATACTTCCTGGTTCCGTTCCTCTAAATGCTACGACGATTAATTTTTTTTCTGGCTCCATGGCTATGTAACCTACATATTTATTATTTTGTTAGTAAACTCAAAAAGTTAACGATGTGTGGCACAGTAATAATATAAAATACCCCTTGTATTAAGCTGAGGGTTGCTAAAATCTTTAACCAATCGGGTACCCTTAGTTGCCATACAGACTTCTCCACAGTCCCAATTTTGAAGAGGAGCCTTAGAATAAGCAGCAGCAGCGTAATTAGCACAGCTTGTTAAAACAGGGAGTGATGTAATGGATCCAAGAGTATTAGGTACTGGAGCAGCTTCGATTAATACTGATAAAAAGATTAAAGAGATTAAAGAAATTAATTTGAAGGATAATGTGTGTTGTAAAAGGTGTGAAAAGGAGTTATGCGTGTATTTGGTAGAAGTTGCCTTGCAACTTGAGGAAATAATTTGCTGCTGCATTGCTTATTGCTTTACAGAGGAAATGTTTTAGTATAATGTTTTAGTGTAAAAGAATGATGCTGTCAGAGAAAAAAACACGTTCTTTTATACATTTTTTGGAGTTATGATCGCATCTTTATTGAAATTCAATTAATAGTAAATCATCACACTTTCTCTTTATATCGACAGATTTGATAAAATACCTTGTAAATAATTCTTAGTAATTGGACACTTTCAGTGATTGGAATCTTCATAGCTTATTAACTAAATCATTCTTTTTGAATTGTAATTAAAAAATTTCCAAGTCTTTTGATTATCAACTATTTTGACCATATAAAGCAACGTTAATATTTGTCCCACATCTGCAAATGTTTGACAAGTTAGATCATTTTATTTATAAAGAGTTAAAATATTGAAGATCAATGACCATCAATTTTTTTTTTGATTTTTAATATGGGACAAAATAAAATCCCGATGGCCGTTTCGGTATTTACGAATAAAAATACATTTCCGTAAATTTAATGCGGAACAAAATAAAATAATAAATCCCGATGAATTAATTCCCGATAATCCCGATATATTAGCAGATGTAATTTTCGTCAATGCTGATCCAAATCTACAAGGGGAAAGAAGGGAAAGAATGAAAAAAAAATTAGCAAAAAAATACTAGATATGGAAAAAAAATTATTATTGAAAATGAGGATTGAAAAAAAAGATGCTTGCTATAACACTGCTATAACACCGTAACATCAATCCGATCTCTGATTTAGATTTAAGTCTAAAAAAAAAAAAGAATAATTTTAATAATATACTTACTAATAATAGAAAAATATATAAAATTAAATGAAAAAAATTATATAACAAAAATAGTATAGGTCTATTATAAAGGAAAAAAAAATTAAAAAATAAAATTGGTTTAAAAATAGAAAAGAAAATTAAAAGAAAAATTTTCAGTTATAGAAAAATCAACCTGAAACTCTATAAAAAATTTTATCCGCTATTTCTGTAAAAACTCCATAAAAATGAGCCTTTCCCGGATCCATTCACGGAAAATGTAAATAATTCGTGATATAAGGTTATTAATTCCGGAAATACGAGCCTTTTACGGAAAAAGACGAAATATAAAAAACGGATCGACTTTTTTTGTAGGGAAAAAGAAATTAAAAAAAAATCAGTTTAGAAAAAACAATATATGAAATTTGAAAAAAAAATCAGTCTAAAAGTAAACCGAAAAAAAAATAAAAAAAAAGAGCTATTTTGCAGAAACCTATGGATTTGTTACGGTTACGGTACATTTCGCCGAAAGCCATTTCGCCGAAAGGACGTTTCGCCGAAAAATAGGGCCAACATTATGCAGAATTATAAATAACTCAGGCAAGAGATTATTTTTCGGCGAAATGGCTTTCGGTGAAATGTCCCGATACCATTTGTGGTTACGGTATTTGTTACTATACAGTTAAGTGATCGCCAACGATTAAGTATCCAACACGTGACGACATGTATCGAGACCACAAGTTTACTTTCAATTTCAAGAAAATGATACAAATAGGTAAGTAGGTAAGTCTATATTTTGAAAAATTTAATATAATAAAATCATTAAATTAATATATGTGGTAAAACTTGAAGATTTAGGTTGGATTAAGCATCAAGCTTTCAATAATTGCACGTGCACGTAATCCTCAACTTTCAATTTATATAGGTGATTTATTACCTGATCATCACAAAATTTGTCTAAATGTTCCAAAAAACTTTTAAAAGATAAATACTTTTCAAGAAAAGAAATGGAAAACTTGCTTGAGTTGAAGATATAATTATATTTTTTTTTCGAAATTTATTATTACTATTTATTTTTATATTAAATTTATCATAACTATAACGATTATATACTAACTTAATAAATGTATTTATATTTATTGTAATTAAAAGATTATAATTTATTTAAATAAAAAAAATATATATATTTATTCCAATTATTTTGCAGCAATGATCCTTCCTGATCAAAAACTATAGAGAAAAAAAAAAATAAAAAAGCCGCGTTTACCCGTGGCCCTGCATCTCCAATCCAAACCTAAATGTTAAAGGCGCGTCATTCTTTGACATTTTTGGGGAAAAAAGCTTAATCGATATCACATGTTTTCGTAGACCTGCCTCAATAAGGGTAGATTGAAAAGTCTGGTCATAAATTCTAGTAAAGTAGAAAGATGAAAAGAATCTTTACGTATCAATTACATTACTGCGCTCACCAACTGTGAGGTTCGGCCATGGTTCACAATTGGCTCGTGCATTAATGCAGCAAAATCTGCCAAGCACATGTGAAGGATCAATATATTATCAATGCACATCACACGCTTCAAGATTTTAATTTCCGAGGGCGCAGCAAGGGTATTTGGACTTTCCCAGCGTAGCCTGAAAAAAATGTCACGAAAAATCACGTGACTTTTTTTGTCACAACCGTCACACACCGCGTTTCCATTTTCTATAAGTATCTGAGGGACAATTTTTTTTGAGTAGGTAAACCTTATTTGTCATCCCTTATTCGTCACATGTGCGCCACACTTAATTTCAGTCAAGTTGCATAATGCCGGCCATTTCGTGACTTTTTTTTCAGGTTACGCTAGGGTAAGTCGGGTATTTGCCAAATTTCATAAATCCTCCGCAATAATATAAAACCAATTAAAAAAAGTTTTTTGGGTTTGATAAGGATCGAAATGAATAAACCTTTATTTGGTTAATGGGCAATATCGTTTCCATATTGCACAAATTATTGTACTCGAAATTCTTTTTTCTTTCATTCTGTTATAAAATTCAATATTACGTTACTATTTTTTCTCGTAATGGAACTTAATTAAACAATTTTACCATAATCCTACAGAAAAATATAAAGTGATATTACGTAAAATGATGTTTTGATACTTAAAGGGAAGAAAATTTAAAATTTTAGTAATTACAGTCAACGCTCGTTATGGTGAACAGGTGAAGCTCGTTATAGTAAATTTGGCTTATAACTTTTTTTATTCCCCAAGCTCACTTACTAATAAATCTTATTTGTTATCGTAAACTTACTAATAAAATCTCAATATTAGATATAGTAAACTTTTGAATAAGTTTATAAATATTTTCATGAAGTTTGTAAGTGAATCACAAGTTTATTATATAACTCATCAACAAGTCCATGTAATGTACTGTTAAATTTATTTCTAAAGTCCCCTAATCTTTTGCACATTTCTTGAAAAGTCACCTTTGCCATTTCACTACAAGGCTTATATCCCAAAACAGCTAATATAAAGTTATTTAAGTCAGATGATGAAGGATTACGAATACGAAGAAATAAACATTTGCTTTCTTCATTCCTTAAGTGTGCTTTATTCTAAATTTGTAATATGTTTGAATATATATTAATATTCTAATAATTATATAAACTAAACATCATGAAATCATATTTATCTCTCCTAGCTACCATTCCTAGCAAATTATCATTTCCATGTAGAGAATTCACAACCATGTTAGTGTTTGATGATGTATTATTGGCTGTTAACATTTGATTGGCAAGTTCTAAAATATGTGGCCGCTTTACTAGCCAATTGCAAACATAAAGTATATTTGACATTTCTGTAAATGATGCTGGTAAAGGTTTATCACCACCTAATAGAGATGAACTACTTCTTGTTCGTGTTGGAGTTGCAACATCAGGCATTAAGGATGCAATTCTTCCTGCTCGTATTGGAGTTGTAGCTTCAGGAACTAATGATGAAATTTTTCTTGTTCATGGTGAAGTTACAACATCAGGTACTAAGAATGCAATTCTTCCTGCTCGTATTGGAGTTGTAGCTTTAGGAACTAATGATGAAGTTCTTCTTGTTCGTGGTGAAGTTATGGCTTCAGATGTAGTTAATGAATGAGTTTTTTCCTGTTCAAATGAGTCTTGATAATCTTGATTATCATCTAATACTTCTTTAACAATATCAGATATATATTTAGGTACTAATAAATAATTATACTAATAAATTATTAACTACCTTGTAAAAAAATACGTCATTGTTATCATTGTTATCATCATCAGATATCTCTAATGATTCTTCTCTATTATTAGAAAATTTCCTAATCAGTCTGATTCTCTTTAGTTCATTATTATTAATATTATCATCTTTATTTTTTCATTATTATTATCTGTGATTTTGTTTCTAACTTGTTTTGACTCGCATGACCTTTAGGTTCAAAAATCACAGTATTTTTGGCTTTGTTCTTGCTACCTTTTGAACGTCCTTTAATGAAAGTTATAATTCAATACATTTATCTAAATAAATCTTATTGATATCATTATATGTTTATACTTGCCTCGGTTCACTTCATTGCATTTTGATTGTTGAGTCTTTGCAGCCGCTTCCTTTTGGTTTAACTTTTGCGTCTTTGGTGCCATTTTACTGAAAGTTTTAAAAAAAATAAATGACAATCAAATAAATATATGTAATTAATGATGTGATACAGATCGACAGATAAGAGTAACTGTTTATTATTATAAAGTTTTATTGTTGTATAACGTCACATTGGGGTGTGCTGTCAACTAATTAAATCAAAGCTATTTGTAATTACACTGATCTTCAATTAGTAAATGATTTTTGGCTAAAGTTTATCAACAATATACTTTATAGTAACTCCACACATAAATTAACTACTTTTTTTTTAGATGCCCAGCACGAATTTTTTTCTTCTCCAAATTTTTTGAATATAAATCAGTCCTTCCGTACCACAGCTACAAAGTTACGAAGCTTTTATTTACATCATATAGCAAGTTTGGAGAAAATTCCTATTTAAATTCTATATTCAAAAAAAAAAATCTCAAACTGCCCTATCAAATGTAAGTTTTTTTCATTTAAATGTAAAAGATAGTTCATAACTATGTTTATATAGCTTTGATATTAATTTTTATAAAATTTGGCCTTGAAATATTAAACCATTAAGGCTGTGTATCTAACTAAAGTTTGGAAAATAGCTGATGGGAGTATACAAATCATATAAACGTTGCTTTCAACTAAAGAATTGCAACAAAATTTGGTTAGAAAAGTATCGGAATGATAAAATAATTAATGAAATAAACAAGTGCTTGGATGAAATGGATGAGAATCAGCTTGAAATGATTTTAAATACTATACAAAGTCAATCTCCTAATTCAACTATAAGAAATAACCAACGGAATAATTTAATTTTAATAATACAACAATTACCCGATGATCAACTTTTATCTGCTGCTCACTTAATTTCAACAATGCGATATCCAAAAGGACCTAATAAGGGCAAAATTTATTTGCTGTACTTACAGAAAAAAGCCTATGAATCCATAAGGGCCGTGACATATATTACGTAATTTCTTAGGGGGTGGGGGGTAATTAGTTATATTAGTAGAAATCTTACGTTACACTGATCTGTATATCATGTGATCTATGGTCATAATCTGATTCGCCGTAAACATTTTTTTTTTAATTTTCGGAAAAAAATTTTTAATTAAATTAAATTGTTTTGTATTTTTAATTTAATATACGTAATTTATATTGCACAAAATTTTAGATATTATGTACTCAGTTAAATAATAGTGATAGTTTTATAGAAAATCTGCGTTTAAGATATTCTTGCAGTATATTCCTTTTTTAATGTACCGCTATTGCAAATAAAACTGAAATATACTTTACATTTTACGTATTTTTTACTTTAATTTTTCAAAGTGAGACAAAATTTTCAATTTAATTATTCAAATATATATTCACTCACCATCTGACATGTATTCTCTTAAACCAAGTTGAATTTAATTAGATGGGACAATATGTTCTGGTTGTTGTGAAGGTAAAAGAGAAAAATCATCAAGAATCATAGAATTTTGTTTAACCTGATCCTTTTTTGGGCGTCCTCGAGTAGCAGGATGTGCTGTGCGTTTGTGATTTGTCAAAAAGGCAAGAGTAGGAAAATATTTTTGACAGACGGAACAACAAAGACGTGAGTACATATTTTTATCAATAGATGGACAATCAGCATCATAGCCTGGTATTTTCAAAAGATCACAATATTGAAGAATGTGAATAGGATTCATAAAATGTCCATCTCTAGCTTTGGTGACAGGTGGCAAGAAACCATTGTTGTTTTGTAGAAAGTCCATGGCTTCTTCAGCTCTAGGTGGTACACAACAACTTGTATTTTTACAGCGCTTGATATCAACCGAATAGGTGCACAAATTACAATGTGTTTCAATCCAAGACCATGGTACAAAACATTCCGAGAAGGTATTTGCATCCTCTTCATTTTTTTTTGAATTTTTTTCTCGTCTTTTTAATTCTTCTGCCCTTTCTTTATCTGTACCTTCAAACTTTATATTTTCAAATGGATTAGTAAGTGTATCTACATAATGGACATCAACTTTCTTTCCAAAAATCAAATCACGACTCCAAATATCACACAAGGTTTCTCCCGCATATCGAAAATTTTGAGTAGCCAATTCTGGATTTATTACTCTTCCTTGTGTATTCAAATGTATACCAAAATGGTAGATTGGCAATGTGACACCAGCAAGTTTTCCAGACAATGTCGCCATACCTCTTTCCACAGGATTATATTTTGATTGTCCTGGAGCATGCGTCCTTACACTTAAATAATCTAAATCAAATTTCTTGAAGAGATGACAATATGCTTTTATATTTTTTAAAAATCTAGGATTTTCATCTGGTCCTCCATCCACCAACAATATCCAAATAGGTCGAATATTTCCATTTATTTTTAACACATCATCGTATTTGGAATCCATGGTAAGACTATTAAGATCTTGCATATGAGTAACTGAAGACGTACCAAGAGACCAATGAGGACGTACAAAAATTGCCAGTTGTCCTGTTAGAAGTGCATCATTTGAATCACTTGGCTTTATCATCAAATATACTGATGGAATTAATTTTTGCACATATCCAGTAGGAAAATCATGATCAGCTACACATATGGGTTCATTAACTGATTGTAGTGTATGAAAAGTCCGGCCTACTGCAGGTATTCCTAAGCCTATTTTCGCCTTGTCATCTTGAGAAATAATAACACTCATATCAGCAAATAATGAAGCAAATTGTCTTGCACATTTAACAGATGCAAGACAGTAATGTACATCAGGATGTTCTCGCATTTCAGTACGTGAAACTCCAGCTACTGCAACCCATGCCGGATGATGATGTGCTCTTGCAGCAATTGAATTGGCTTGAAGAGGCAATAGATAATTATTTAATGTGGTTCGTGCCATATATACATTGTATCTTTCTTCAAGATTTTTACGCAAGTTTTCAACTATACGCACTTTAACTACTTCCTTCCTTCGTTTTGCATCAGCTGATCCAAATTCAACTGAATTATGAATTTGATCATGCAAGTCTGGGTATTTAAAGAGAATTGGAGGCCGACCACATCCATCATATCGCACAACTTCCTGATCTTCAGTAAGCATTTTTAATTTTTTCGCTCTACAATCTTGAACATACTTTGCATTTCTTTTTAACTTCATGATTTTGTCTTTATTAGAGCTAATTTCAGTTAGAAGATCATTTATTTTTATGTACATATCATTTCGGATTTGAGGGTCAGTTGTAATATTGCAAATTTGCTCTAATTCGGCTATCTTTCTTTCAATCATTTTGATCTCATCAGTTGCTCTCCTTTGGGCTGATGCATTTGGTGAAATTTCCAGTGTTGAGTCTATGGAATGAATGATAGGAGGGGGTGGAATGGGATCTTCTCTTGGTATAGAATGCTTTGATATTACTGTTCGTATATCATACAAGTTAAAGGGAATTGCCAGGTATTGTTTAATTATATCTTCAATTTCTGTAGAATTTTTGTTTTTAATTTTATTCCATTCTTGTGCTGCTTCACGGCAAATATCAGCACGGTTTGGAGTATAATTTGCAGTTTTTACCATGATGCTATATACATAAGCATTGGAAAATTCTTGATATTTATTTATAGGTGAGCGATATATTGGTTTTTTATTAAATTTAGGAGTTGAAAAAAACATTTGACGACTCATTTTCGATATTAATATGATGTATTAAATTTAAAAAAATATTAAAATATGAAATAAGCCAAGTGGAAGATAAAAGTTTCGCAGCGCGTCAAAGTATTTCGCAAAACTTGCAATGAAACCGTGATATAAAATGATCGGCATGTTACATTAAGGAGTTTAATAATTGTAATTTTTCGAAATTTAAACATTTTGATAGAAAATAAATTTTGGATTGTTTTTAAATTCGCATGAAAATTTATTAATTTTTTTTCGAAATAAAGCCATTTTAAATATATTTGGATATATGTAAAATAAATATATATATATACAAATTTAAACTTAAATATCTTGAAAATCTGGATGAAACATCAAGAATCCAAAGAAAAAGAGAATAGAAATCGTATTGACAGAATGACTTTATTTAATCATAGAAGTGAATCAACCGGAAATTTTATAAAGTTGATAAAAATGTCACGTGATTGAAGATCATATCTTACATGGGGGTGGGGGGTAAGCGTTTATATTAAATTGATATTACGTAATATATGTCACTGCCCTAATGGCACTAAAAAACCAAATATAAATAATGAATTTTTTGACAATAATGATAGGAATGAAGAACAGGATCATGGTCAAGGTTAGTTTTAAAATTAATATGATTTTATATTTAATATATGTGCGAACACGGTATAACAGTAATATTAAAGTTTATTAAATAGTTATTAATTAACACAATTTTATTTACAAAAAGTAAATTCCTTTTTTCTTATTTATATTTTATAGATGATCAAGTAAAAGTATTGGATACCAATACTGATGATGCTAACGAAGATTTTTGTAAGTTTCAATTTATATCTTATANAAAAATGTCACGTGATTGAAGATCATATCTTACATGGGGGTGGGGGGTAAGCGTTTATATTAAATTGATATTACGTAATATATGTCACTGCCTAACTCAAAGTCTTTATAAGCATCAGCCTACATATAAATCACTACAAGAATCTAATACAAAATTAAAAGCTGATTTTAAAAAGCTTCACCGACAAAATCAAACTTTGATTAGAAAAACACAATCACTTGGAGTTCAAAATAGACATCTTCATAATCAGAAACCAAATTATATATCTAAAATCCGTTCTTTAGTTCGATGCTCTCATCAAATCTCTAATGCAACATTTCAAAAAAAAATTAAATCTATCTTTGAAGTTAACAAATGCAGCTATACATCTAACACTGTTTGGCTTGCAACTAGTATCTCGCAAGTTGGTCAAGTATCATTACATTCAACAGTAGAATGCATGAAATTAATTTATGAGTTTTTAATTGGAGAACCCCCACAAAATTGGATATCAATTTCAACATTGCGTACTTGGCATCAAAACGTTTCAAAATTACATGTTAATGCTCAAATCTGTCAAGTTGCCAATACCTCAGTATTTGGAATTATGGTTGATGAATCAACAAGAGGTGAAACCAAAAATTTTGTTATGTGTTATCAATTCTGGGATCAAAAAAATCAGACACCAGCTGTAGTTATAAGACGGCTTCAAGATATTCAAAAGTGTAATGCAGAAACTGTATGTGATACTGTCATTGAAAATATTAAACAAGATAGTTTAGATCTCACCAAATGTGTGCTATGGACAACTGACAACACAGCTTATATGTCAGGAGATAAAGGTGGTGTGATTACACTTTTTAATAAGAAAACAGGCTTAAAATCATCACGAATTGGATGTGGACTCCACATAATTCAAATTGTGCTTAATCATTTTGAGCTAGCAGCATTTAGAAAACTATCAAATGGAACTGGTTTTTCAAAAAAATCACATCTGTATAATTTACTTTATTTGGCATGGAATTTACATGATGGATACAATGCAAGCGATAAAGACAAACCACTTAATATAAATTCTCAAATTATTAAAAATCTTTATGATGGATTACTAGGATTCCATTACAACCAATATCAATTACCTTTTCATTCTCGATGGGGCTATGAATTACAAATAGCAAAACAATATTTAAATCGTCATGCTGCTCATATTGAATTTACAAATTGGTTCATTGAAAAACTGGAAATTCGTAAAACTACTCCTAAGACTTATCTTGAAAATTGGCATCTTTTTAAAACTTGGCTAGTTGATCCAAAATTAAACATTCAAGTTAAATGTTTAGTAAACTTCGCTGAACATTTTTATGAGTCTCTAGTGCAATTCATGGTAAAACAAGATCCTATTCCATGGCTGTATCAAAATGATCAGTTAATTACATTACCTCCTGGCCGGCGTGCTCATAAGATGCCAGATAAAGTATTTGAATGGTATGAGTTTCTCAAAAACCTTACCAATAACTTTTGATATGTTTTTTTCTGATCAACTTACAGAAGCTGCAGATTCATTATCTAGCAAGGAATTTGAGATTCTTTTTAATGATTTAGAATATGGCATTATAGAGGCTTTAAAACATTTTGAAAAATGGTTATTACAATGGCTTCATTTGCCATTAGCAGTTTGTCATCTTGGTGGAAATAATGCTCAACCATTTGCATCTAGTTTTTATCATGTTATTCTTCAAAAGCCTTGGATTTCTTTGCCTTCAGATTTGGAATTACGCTTTGCACAGGATTTGGAGGGTGATATAAATAATGGAATAACAAATGACTTTGGTTTGCGTGAATTGCTATTGCATAACAATGATTTTCTTGAAGAATTTAAACGATTCTGTAGTTGCGATGATCCAAAGTTATACAAATTTCATAATCTTTATGATTTCGTTAAAAATCATATTTATTTCATTGTTATCAACCAACAACAGGTGGAGGGATTATTCAATAAACTAGATTTGAAGACACACCCGAATATGTCACCAGCAGTAAAACAATCAAAGCTTCGTTTATCATCAGATAAGATCACAAAAGAAAATCTGAACGATGGATTAAAAGATATACGAAAACAAAAAACTAAGTCAAGAAGAACTCCACTCCAAGAAGTCCAATTTGGACCTAATATTGCGTCAACTCTTCTTAAACAAATTCTTGACTAATAATTAAAAATATTTACTTAAAACGAAATATAAAATATAATTTGCTGATAAAATAATTAATGGTTTGTAAATACAGTACAAATTATATACAGTATAAATGAAAAAAATAAATTTTTTTATGTACAAAATAATTTTTTTTTTCACGTGTAAAAAAATCTTCAATAGTAAATTTTTATATGGTACTACATATAGTTTTGATTTAATTAGTTGACAGCACACCCCAACGTCACATGCTGGACGGACATCTGGATATTGCATGAACTGATGAACATTAAAATATACACTTCATAAAAATAAAAAATAAAAAATAGTGTATTGTATCAGATATTATCTGTTTTTAAGCCCTATAAAAAAAAAATTCTTTAAAATGTACTTAAAATATACTTATGTATTTTTTTAAAATATACTTAAAATATACTTATATATTTTAAAATATACCTAAAATATACTTAACATTTTAAAATATACTTAAAATATACTTAAAATTGCAATTTTAAATATATTTAAAGTATAAAATTTTGCACTTAAATTATACTTAAATTATATTTAAATTGCAATTAAGTATATTTTAAATGTAATTTAAGTATAAAATTTTATACTTTAAATATACTTAAAATTGCAATTTTAAGTATATTATAAGTACATTTAAAAATTTTAAGTACATTTTAGATATATTTTAAAATATATAAGTACATTTTAAGTATATTTTAAAGAATTTTTTTTTCATAGGGAAGCAGTAATCTCAGTTATTGAGCATTTATAAAACTTTTATTTACATAAATAATTATACAATTATAGAATTTGTTGAAGTAATTGCACTATAAAGTACTATAGTTATTAGTGTCCCAAATATCTAAGATGTTTAATTGCTTAATGTCACTACACTTGAGCCATTACGCGTGTATCAGGTATGTCAGCATCAATCTATATGGTCAATGCCTATAATCCATTGTTTAAAAATTTGTTCAACATAATCCATTCCTATATATTTGCGAATCATATGACACAGAGGTTAATTTTATAAAAAAAAAGCCAAAGGTTAATAGAGCATTTGAAATATTTGAAATTAAGGTAATTAAAACTTATTTGTCAATAAACTTACCCTGGATCACATTGTTGTTAATAATTTTTTATACCCTTCATTATTAAAATTGATGTACATTTTAACACGAAATCTTCAACATTTTATTTGATGCATTCAAATTATGTGTCTGTAGAAATAATGAATGGAATTTAACCAAGAGATAATGACACAACCAACCATTCACTGTTTTAAGAAAAAGTTAGGATGTAAATTAACTAATTGCTCTATATTGTTTATGCCAAAATGCCCTATAAAAAAGTTTGTGCTAAATTTGTGCCAAATGGGGATATTTTGTTTAGAATTTGTTCAAATTTTATATTATTTTTTAGTACAAATTTCGAATAAATGTTGTATGATTAGCCCGTTTGGCACAAATTTAATACAATCCTTTTTTATAGGGATGATATTTCAAAATATTTTTTAGGTAAATGGTACGGTATAGAAAAAATCGCTATTAACGAAAATTTTTTGTAATTTTTATTTATTTACTTTTAGTTTGTAATGATCTGCCAATCACTTCTTCCCGATCTAAAAATTTCTGGCCCTCCCCTTAAATACAAAAACATAATCAAGAAATCACCGGCACATAATCAAAATTTGAGATTTTAGAAGGAAATAATCATATGGCGTATCCCATTCTAAAAATACATAAAAATTTTTCTGGGGTGACCGAGTCACCCCAGACCCCCTTCTTAGGCTTTTTTTCTTATTAACTATGATATATATAGTTATGGTAACCTTTTAAAAAAAATTATTTGTTAAAAAAAAGATCATCACATTTATTTAGTATTAAAAAAATCTAAGATATCTTCTATCTTTATATTTATTTATATATTTATATTTATTTATTAAAAGTTTCGTATTTACTTATAAAAAATGTGTTAAAAAGTTATTCATATTGTTACTAGTATTTATTAAAAAAATTATTAATGAATTTATTATGAGATTTTCACTCCTCCCGAATATTTTGTAATCTTTTTCTCTATGACCGACTCCTAACGAACTAAATTTTCAAAGCTTAAAGGGCCATCATAATCTCATTAATTTATTAGGAAAAAATTAGATACCAACATGCACTTGTTCTCTAGTTAATTTTTGATAATGACATACAATAAAATGAATACCAGTATAATTAAGCATATTTTATAATCAATGTTAAATAAAATATAATATATAAAGTAAGAATATTAGTTAATTAATTCCTAATTACCAAAATATAAAATATTAAATGTAATCTTAATAAATAATAAATATCAAGGCATGCCGCGACTGCCGCATGTACTGTAAAATACTTATTACAATATTTTGTCTTACCTTATAATATTATATTTGATTTCAAAAGTAACAATAATATTCTAATTTTAGCTTAATCTTCAATCGCACAGTCTAAGCCTTCACGCCATTCAGTAGTAAATGGATTGAGTAATCGAGAAGTATAATAAGCTTGTGAATGGGTATTTAATTGGCTATTTTCAGCAGGTAAAAGATTTACTATTCTATATTCTTCTACTTTGTCAATAAATTCTTCATTTTCATCTGAATTAAATAATTCAATAAATTTAACTACTTCAGCAGCATTTGGTCTATTATCTAGATTTGAATCCCAACACCTTTTCATTAAATCAATATAACATTTTGGTGCTTCTGATTCACTTATTTCAGGTCTAATTCCTTCTCTACAAATATCTAATACTAAGTAATGATCATGTGCACAATTAGAAAAAGGTTGCCTTCCTGTTGCTACAAAATACATAATCATACCAAAACTATATATATCTGCTGCTTGAGTATAAGGTTTTCCTTTTAATACTTCAGGAGCTACATAAGGCATAACTCCATAAGTATTTGTTTCATCTATATTACTAACATCTCCACATAATCCCATATCTGAAATATATAAATAAAAATCACTATTTCCAGTACCTGAGATAATATTATCAGTCGCAAATGATAATAATATATTTCCTATATGAAAATCACGATGAGCCATTCCATTTTTATGAATTTTCATAAGACCTTTAATAATATCTTTTAATATAAGTAATTTTTCTTCCCAATTCCAATTTCTATTGATATTATTATAACTATTTAAATTTCCAATATTTGCATATTGAAGAACCATAATATATTCTTTTGTGTCCGGATTTTGAGATAAACCATATATTTTAAGAACACAATCATCATAATTAATATAATAAGCTTTAACCTATAAGAATATAATAAAAAAAATTATTATTATATAGAAGGATATACAGTATAATCAAATTCAGAGAAAAGTTTATACCTCATTTATAAATTCATCAGTAATATATTGTGAATTATATAAAACTTTCAAAGCAACTTCTTTATCAGGCTTCCTATTGTATTTCTTTTCATTATATTTTAATGGACCATTAAACCATATTGCTGAATATACTATAGCAAAACCACCTTTTCCTATTTCTTTGATATTATCAAATTGATTATATGGTATCCATTCAACTATTCCATCCTTCCATGTATTAATTTCTAATTGGATTTCCTGAATAAATTTATCAATTTTTTTATTTCCACTTGTCCAGTTATTAAAGTTTTGTTTTAAATTATTTATTTGACATGATTTACACCATTGTTGGTATGAATCTGTATATTGATTGCTGCAATTTTCACAAAAATTATTTTGAATAATCATAACATAATCATTTGTATCTGAATTATAAGATATCCCAAATATATTAGGAATATTATATTCACTATCATTAATTGAATATGATTTAGCCTTTAAAAAATATATAAAAAGTTAAAAAATTATTATAAAAATTTCTTAAATTAGATTACAAGAATTAAAAATTCCATACCTCACTTATAAATTTACTAGTAATATTTTGTGAATCATTTAAACATTTTAAAACAACTTCCTTATTAGATATTCTTTCATATCCTTTTTTACCATATTTATTATAATTTAATGGACCATCTATCCATCTTGCTGAATATATTGTGACAGAATCATTTTTGCTTATTTCTTTAATATCAATAAACTGTTCATATGATATCCATTCAATTATTATATCATCACAATTATTAATTTTCAATTGCATTTCTTGAATGAATTCATCAATTTCTTCATTTCCACTGGTCCATTTTGTGAAATCTTGTTTCAAATCATTTATTTTACATGATTTACACCATTTATAAGATATATTTGAATAATAATTACCACAGTTTTCACAAAATTCATTAATAAGAACCATAATATAATCTTTTGTATCCAGATTTTGGGATATTCCATATATTTTAGGAATATTATTTTCGTATCTTTTAATAGTATATGATTTAGCCTATTAAAACATATATAGTTAATATAATGAAAAATAAGAAATTACAAAGAGATTAAAATTTTCATACCTCATTTAAAAGTTCATTAATAATAATTTGTGAATTATAGAAACACTTTAAAGCGACTTCTTTATTAGGTATTCTGTTATATTCCTCTTTATCATCTTCATATTCTAATGGGCCATTTATCCATACTGCTGAATATATTATAGTAATATCATCATTACCTATTTTTTTGATATCATTAAACTGATTATATGGTATCCATTCAACAATTATATCACTATAACTTTCAATTTTCAATTGCATTTTTTGAATGAATTCATCAATTTTTTTATTTTCACTGGTCCAGTTTGAAAAATTTTGGTTTAAATTATTTATTTTACATGGTTTACACCATTTAATAGGTATAGCATTTGTATATTGGACACCACAAATTTCTGTATATTGATTACCACAATTTTCACAAAAAGCATCATCAAGAACTATGATATAATCTTTTGTATCTGGATTTTGGGATATTCCATATATTTTAAGAATATCAATTTTGAAAGTATCAGTAGAATATGATTTAACTAGCTAAAAAAAAAATAATAATAATAAATATATATATATATATATATATATAAATTATTATAATAAAGGATTTTTTAAATTAAATTAAATAAGAATTAGAAATTTTTTACCTCATTTAAAAATTCAGTTGTAATATTTTGTGAATTATTTAAATATTTTAAAGAAACTTTCTTATTAGGCATTCTTTTTTCATAATTTCCATCATAATCATCATAATTTAATGGACCATCCATCCATCTTGCTGAATATATTATAGTAGAATCATCTTTGCCTATTTCTTTGATATCATTTAACTGATTATATGGTATCCATTCAACAACTATATCCTTATAACTCTCAATTTTCAATTGCATTTTTTGAATAAGTTCATCAATTTTTTCATTTCCGCTTAAATTTACAAAATTTTTCTTAATATTATTTATTTCGCATGGTTTGCACCATTTAGCAAATATATGTCCGAATATTTCACCACAATTTTTACATTTAATATCATCATATGACGACATGATTTTTTTTACAAAAAGTTAGATGGAAATTAAAAAAAAAAAAAATTGATCGGCATAATGTAGTAAAAAAAAAGTCTTGTGTGATGATGTGTCCATATTTGTATGACAAATAAAGTCTGACAATACAGATCTTTACTCGCTTTAGAACATAGTTAAAAAATCTATAAACTAATAATTTTAAAAAAATCATGCATGAAAGTAAACAATTTACTATATTATTATATACTTGTTTAACATGCTAATTATGAACGGACCGGAATTAAATGTTATTAATTACTAAAAATGGAAGATCATTTTGGCCTAACACCTCCCCTTCAGGAAATTACGTAATTTCTGGTACTCCCCTTATAAGGGATGTTTTATTTATTGACATTATTAGAATATTTAGAGTTTAATATTGAATATAATTTCATAAACAAGACGTACAAGAATCTTTTTCTGAAACTTAAATAACTCAAGATATGATGCTTATCATCTTTTGTGTTTTGTGAATTGAAAATTCAAACGGAAACGATATAAAATACCTATATATATACATTAAAGGGAATTGTATAAAGAAAGTTAACACTCGATTGAAAAGATTTACTTTACATAGTAATTTATTTTATTTTATTTTATTTTTGCTAATATTTTCCGAGTCGCAGTTTAACTATTTTTATGAATTAAATTTTTAAAATTTTTTATCATTATTGTGTACCAATTTTTTTTGGTTATAGTTACACCGTTTGATTAACGGTTAAACTAGCAGCCGACTTCTGTGCAACACATCATTGCATAAGAATTTATATTATGAAGTTAAATGTAAAAATTGGAATGATTTTTATACGAATATAGAACACAAATGGTGTAAGCCATGTTAAATAAATAAAGCGAATAGATAGCCTTAAAGAAATTGGATGATTATTTCATTAAGAACATATTAATGTAGAAAAAATATTTGTGAACATATCATACTGTTGTTATTTGTTAACTTTTAACATACAGCTGATTATTAATGACTTATGATATTAGAACAAGAGGGCAACACTTTCGATGAACTAAAAAAATTAACAGAATAGAATTGAAGGCCAATATTTTTTTAAGATTGTGAGCCGTAGTTATTTATACAAATTACCCAACAAAATTTATTAATGAGTTTCAGTAAACTTTATTTCCGATCATTCATTAATATAAATGTTCTTACGTCTTGATAAATTCACGTCAAGCAAAAACATTCTTTTTCGGGTGAAATTTCGGAATTACACTAAACTATTTTAAATCTTTATACTTAAACATACTTAAACAATTTTTTTATATAATAATATTGTTCGGATCCTAATAAAAGAAATATATAAATTTTTAGAAAAAGATCAATCAAAAATTTCCATTTTTTTTATTTTGAAAATTTTTTGAATTTTCGTTTTTTATTGCGAAAAGAATAGAATACTAAAAATACGCTCAATTTTTATGATTTAATACATTTCAGGATATTGATCATCAAGTTCGTTAAAATAAGTTTCTCAGATAATTTTTATTAGAAATTCTTCTGACGTTTAGAATACCCTCTATAATGTCTAATTTGTGTGGTTAATCCGATTCCAGTTTACGAAATTTTTTGGTCAAATATTTTTTTTCTTGCTAATTAGTTAATAAATAAAATGAATAAAAAATTTCGATCTTTTTCTTAAAACCAAAAAAAAATTTTTTTAATTTTTTTTCAACAAAAGAACAATTTTTTTTTTATAGCCCAACTATACTATATTTAAAATTTTTCACTGGATCAAAACATGATCAAATACAATTTCTATCACGTTTCTAATAAGGTGCAGAGGCAGCTTGGGCTGTAAATCAGTTAATCAGCTGGAAAATGATATAATAATTTTTTAGATCTTTTAATCATTAGCTTTCATTAATTAGAATAACATCCTTTCTTATCGTACAAATAGGCAGTTTAATAAATCAATAAAAGTGGATAATTACTAATTTAATATTAGCTATATAGATATGTTGTGTACATAGTTAATATTTGAACATTTCAATAAAATGCTGTTTTAATAACTTGTTGCTCCTGATGAGGTGCGTAACATCAATCAGAAAATAAGGACGAGATAATGAAAGAAGGAGAGAAAAACAAGGGAGAAAGAGAAAAAAAAGTAAGGGTAAAGGCGAGGGGGAAGATAAAAAAGGGAAAAAGGCGAGAAAATAATGTAAAAAAAGAGTAAGAGGGAAAGAGTTAGGAGGTAAAGGATAAGGAGGGTGAAGAGAGAAAGTGAGAGGAAAGGGAAAGGGAAAGAAAGAGGGAAAAGAAAGAAAGGTAGAGAGATAGGGAGGTATGATTCATATATAACTACTCAAATCTACTAATTTTCTGATTTTTTATTATTTACAGGACCATTACCAGATAAATAAGAATGGTTTTTGTAATACACGATCTTATCCAATTATTATTTCCGACATTCTAAAATTCATATTTTTCAAACTAATAAAAAATGATTCTGAATTTAATTTTGCATTATGCAATTGTAATACATGAAAATTATTAGGAGAATATTTAACAAGTTCTAACAGTTTTTTCTTCCTAAATATAAACCAACACAAAAAGTTTTAATACTTTCTAATAATTGACAATTAATATCAAAAATTATTATTAATTTTTATGGATTAATGATAGATAATGATTTGAAGTTTGGGCAATATTCAGCTATAGCTAAGTCCAATGAATTTTTATCACTACTATCAATTTTTAAATTAATGTTTTCTAAATTCTTTCCATTATTTACTAAAAATTTAATTAAAATATCAACATCTACTACAGAAGTTAATTTTAAAATTCTTAAGTTTGAAAATGTAATTTTAATAAAAATGGATGGTAGTGGTATTCTAAATAAAAATAATTTTGTTAAAGTATTTGAATGTTTTGTTAATTTCTTGAAACAATTAAGTATATCATCCCTAAAAATATAAATACTCTCATTACAGTTGATGAATGATATGGATTTTAAATTATTTTGACAAAGTATCAAATCATTTATTCCAACTGAAACAGTTTCTTCAAATTTTATAACTAAAGAATTTATATTATGACATATTTTAGATAATTGAAGAAAAAATTCAGAATCTATATATGAGCAACATGTCAATTCTGAAAGATTTTTTAAACAATCATTTGCTCCAGGAAAATTAATAAAATTTAAAAAATTATATGTTGTATTAAAATCATTATAATAAGTATAATAATCTATATCAAAGCAAAAATCCATTTTTTTTTAAAGAAGAAATTTGGTTCATAAACATTTTCAATATTTCTTGGGTTATCAAATAGTTTTTTGAATTTGCAGTTAAAATATGAAAATGTGGGAAATCGTCAATTAATAGATATGGAATTGAAAGAACTTTGCAAAATGATGCATAATTAAACAATGAAGGTTTTGAGATTGGAATTGAGGTGATTCCATTATTAATTAGAAAGTCTTTTGATTCTTTGGGAAGACAAATGATTAAAGTCCTTATAATTTCTGCGAGATTAAACCATTTAAAATTCCAAATATTTCTCCATAATATTTCAACGGAAATTCTGCACCAAAGGCGACTTACTAGCAAGCAAGAATGTAAAGTAGCTTTATCTTCCTCTAAGAACTCGAAAATTCTGTTAAGACAATAAGTAGGAAGTGTTGAAATCATTTTTTTAAAATTTTTAAAAAAAAATGGTATTATAAAAAAATTGTATGGTTATATGGTTATATTCTTGCACTTTACATACATATGTAATGATGATGTTAGATTACTGTGTAAAACCAACCAATAAATATGATTTATTATATATACTGTATATAAAGGCTTTGTTGGTTAATCACATGTGATTATTCCTTTTATTACAGAAGTAACACCTTTTTTATTCGCACATGAAATAAAATAAATAAAATAGTGTACTTAGAGTAAAAAATAAAACTAATTGCAAAGTTTGTTTTATGCGGATTACTACTAATAATAAATACTTTAATAATATTCATAGTAAGTAATAAATAATTTTTTTTATTAACATTTTCCAATAAGAGTATCAAAATCAATTATTATTTAATTACTACAGAACTATTATATATCAAAGTACAAAATTCATTTCAATATAATTTTTTTTTTCTTTCAAAAAATTTAAAAAATTTAAAAAATTTGAAACCATAATAAATAATTAATTTATAAAATTGTTACAGATTTTAATAAAATGAATATCAATATTAATAAATAATTTTAAAATATATTAAAAATTATTACCTACTTATTATCATTTCATACAACAGAAAAAAATATCAACAGTTAAAATATTATTTAATTGTGTAACGTGTAGCAAAATGATTTCATAAATGTTGGAATTTGGATAAATTTGACTACTATACTATTATAATACTATTATTAATATTTATTGTTTAACAATGTGATTGGTAAGTATGGTATTTTCTAGAACTCCATGATATAAATTTCTTCTAACAAAAAATCAAAAATTATCAAATGGTTTTTAAATAAATAAATAGATGATTAAAATTATTATGCAACACATGAAATAATAATTAAGACAAATTTTCAAAATAATCAAAAAATTTATTATTTACATATTACAATGAAAATATAAAACTCATGATGATTCATAATGAGTCTTTTCAATTTAACTCCTTTGTATCTTGATCATAATTTATAAAAAGTGTATATTACGAAAATTTTATACAAAAATTTATATTATGTGGACAATTTAAGAAAAATAATTTTAGAAAATGTTAAAGACATAAAAAACATATTAAAGAATATAAATGAAAATAATTGAGACCAGTATCATTAGAATTACAAGTAAAATCAGTAGTTTATGTGTTTGAATTAAATATACGGTTTGAAAAATATAAAAATGGATTTGATGCATTATGGACATGTAAATATCAACTGTTAAGAATTATTGAATCTAAACAAACTGATAGTATTTACTTAGAATAATTGAATAAAACCTTTGAATATATGACACTCTTCCATACATTATTACAAATGTGATAATCATATTGTATCAGCCATCTTTGACACAATTTATGTATTTATTGTATATTACTATTTACATAATTTATAAAAAAGTTTGTACAACTAAAAAATATATAAATGTCCCTACTTCAGTCTTTTATTTTTTAAGAGAATGCTTTTCAGATCTGCCGAAAAATTAACTCTCTTCTGCCAAACATTAACTCTTTTTTAAAATTATGTTGTCAATGGAAATAGATTATGAAAATGTAGGTAATGATATTGATCTGGAAGATCTCGAAAATGAAGCTTGGCTTATTAAACTGCCAGCTTACTTGTTTGATAAATGGGCAGATGTTGCAGATGATGATACTGAACTTGCTAGAGTTCAATTTTTTGTTGATTCTCGTGGAATAGGTAGTCAACCACCAAAACAATCGTATAAACTTATCCTTTCAGACATTGAAAGACATGAAAATGAACCCAAAGAATATGATCTTGAAGTTGTTGATGATAATGTTGCTGATACATATCTTTTTTACCAATATAAAGATGATGGAAGTGTATCCATGGCCGCTACAGCAAAAAAAAATTTTATAGTGAAACCAACATTTGGAGTTGATTACAGTAGAAAAGTTCGTCAAAGAACATTACAAGCTGCAACATCAACGAGAAGAATTAAGATAATAGGAGATAATGAAAATCATGGTGCTTACGTACCTCCTGGTGCATATGCGGCTGCTATTACGAAATTTGGAAACCTTGTTCAAAAGAAACCAAAAGTATCGATCAATCAAAAGACTACACGTATGCCAAAGAATGAACTTATAGATTTACTATTTGGTGCTTTCGAAAAGTACACATATTGGACATTACGTGGATTAAAAGATTATGCGAAACAACCTGAGTCATATTTAAAAGATGTGTTGAATGAAATTGCTATACTAGATAAACGTGGATCATATAATAATTGCTATCATTTAAAACCTGAATATAGCAAACAATCATCAAATGCATCAGATATTGCACCATTAGGATTAGAAGCGCCTGCCATTGGAACTGTTGATGATGATTTTGAGTTTGAGAATGATGATGATAATGAATATAAATTGGAATCTGATGATGAAAATTTATTTGGAGATGATTAATAATATTTTAGAACGTCATATAAGAGACATTTCTATTGAATTAACTGAAGTCATGCATTAATTGGTTGATGTATTATTATAATTACTTGACTGAATTATATAATTAGGTATCCTTACTTTAATTAATATACTTTTTAAGTTTAAATTTGATACTTGATAATAATACATCCCATTTTTAAATGAATTATTACAAACCATTTTTAATAACCTTGATAATGATATTGATTCTTTATTTTCATGTAAATAAAAAATTGGTGTGAAAATGCCATCACCATCTTATGTAGAGTTATAATCTTGAAACAACAAAAGTGAGAAAAATAATTCTAACTCTTCTTTCACAAATCTAATTACAAGAGAGAATTGATTTAGAACTTAAAGATATTTCAACTAAAACTATGTATGATTGTGTATGGTTTATTCAACAATTTGACATATCCTTATTATGTACATATTGGTTATTACTTTATGAAATTCAGGGAATATGGCAATAGTCTAAAATGATACTACCAGAACTTCCTCAAGCAGTAGCTTTCAAAAATAATACACTAAGGAACAATCCAATGTTGTGTCCAGAGGATAGACTTATGATGTTGACACCACAATTGATTAGAGAATATATTTCAACATGGTACTGCAAGAGTGAATGGGTTTAGCGACCTTCTTGTTTGTGGCGCAGTTCATTTCAAAGACCCTACGAAGATATAGACTGGATGCTGATCGAAAGGTGGCAGGTATTTGTAAAAAATCAGACAGCCACACATTTTATACCCTGATTTGCAACTAAAATAGATTTACAAAATTGAGGCAATTGTGATTTCATGAAAACTGAAATATAAGTAGTTATCCCCTATTTCATTATAAATATATCACAAAACTTCCATTTTTGATTACTGCATGAAGGTCATGATCCGTAAAATGCAAATCAGGGAGAGATTTTGTGTGCTTAATGGAAAGATATACCAGAACTTTGGATGAATTATGCATGCAACTTCTTCAATTTTATATCTAATGACAATCCTGACTCAATGAACGAAAAATTCAAACTGAAAAAAAGAAGATTAACTAATTATGATAGTAAGAAAATCACCTCCAAGAATTGAACTTGGACACAGAAATTGTGGAACCAACGGTGATGGATTATTGTTGAGTTGATAAGTTATTAAGGAAAGAACTCAACAAAGGAACAAAATAAAGGGTATCACATGTGAAAAATGAAATCACATGAGATAGATCAAATGATCAAGAAAGGTAAATTTTACAAGACAAAGGATCTCTCTGACACCAATCAGCACAGTGCAATGCTTCATGGGCGATGCAAACGATCCCCTTATAAAAATTATCTATCTAAGAATGGCCAAGTATTCCCGAGTTGACCAAAGGGTAAAAATTAAAAAAACAAAAAAAAATTAGAAAAAAAAAGAACAAAAAAAAAAAAAAAAAATTATTTAATTAAATAATAATGTCTAAACTATTGGGAATTAAGGGTATTTTTTAAATTAACTATTAATTCAATGTTATGTTTGTAAAAAGAAAGTAAAGATAAAAGAAATAATATTGTAGAATGAGTAACCTCATAAAGAAAATCAAGAAAATAAAGAATAAAATCAAGAAATAAAAGAAAAATTGATAAAGTATAATATGAAAAATTTGAAATAAGGAAGGATTTAAAAAGAGAGAGATTTGATAGGAGGAGAAGAGAAAGATTTGAGAAAGAGAAATTTAGGGAAAGGTAAAAGAATATTTGAATTATATATTTTGTCAAAGTAAAGATTAAAACAAGTATATGAGTGAGAAGGTTTGTATATATAATTAAAAAAACAAAAAGAATGTATAAGTAAGTAATGAAAAATGGCAAGTATTGAAATGTAAATGGTCCAGTTTGGAGATGAGAAGGAAAGCATTTGTCAATAGGAATGTTATTAAAAGGAGTATTAATGAAATTTGGACACATTTGGAAAGACATTTTTGTATTATTAGATTTTAGAAGAAATTTAAAAATTTAAAGAAAATTTGTTGCTTGACTTGAAAGTAAATTTGAAAAAATTTGATTTGAAAATTTGTTGCTTGAAAAAGTTGAAAAAGTTGATTTGAAGTTTGAATTTTGATTTTTCTTTGAAAAAGTTTAAGGGTATATATATATTTTTAAAAACCTTTTGAATACCATAGTGACTAATAATAAAATAGAGTAACTTATTATGATTCATAAAAAAAAAAATCTAGATTATGTATAAATCACATCTATTACATCAATTAATTTATAGTTATTTATCCTAAACTAGTAATATGAGTTAGCTTAATGATATAATTGTGGATTATTTATTGGAATTTACTGTAATAAAATATAGGGTAAATTTTTCTGGAATTGTCTGTTATCTTATAGGTCATTATCTATCTATAATCATGATTATAAAGAATTTTCATCTAGGAAATCTAGATCTCTAATTGTGACTCATCAACATTTATCTAAATTTGTTCAACAAAATTTGGTATATATTAGGGATTTGAATATTGTGGGGCTTATACAACAATCGGTATTCATTTGGACAAAAAATTTCCAATAATATTCAATACATATCATGATAAACATAATATAAAATAAATTATTGGTCAGTATATTAGGATCATGCTGATTTTGACGGACTTATTTTTTTTTGCTAATGGCTAAATAATTGACCATCAGTTCTACAATTTTACAGTTTAGTATATTTCAATTTTTATAAAAATATTTCTAGTCTATAGTTTTTTCCCACTCTCAGCTGATATATTGTAATCTTAGTAAATAAATTTTCTGGGTGATAAAAAATTTGACTAAATCGGTAGATTGGCGATCACATCACGTGATCGCACACGTCTTAAAAAATTCTTCGTAGGTTTTGTAGGTTAAATGACTCAAATAAGTTAATATTTGTTTTATGGGAATAGTTTTATTTTATTGAATATTTGCTGCAGATTTTTATGAAATTATAATTTTTATATTGCAGTGTAGTGTATGAAAAATAGAATAGTTTTACTCGATTCTATAAAGACCAAACTTTTTTTTTATAGATCTAAGTGATATACAGCATGGTACAAACTCGTGACGAAACTGAGATTTAAAAAACAATTACAATATGATCGGATTGAATAACACGCCAAGAAATCTATTTTTTTAATTTTACAAAATATTTTTTTT